ACGTAAATGCTTTATCGCCTCGTTTCGTGGAACTCTTTGCTCCGCTCTCGTCAACGCGGCGAGAAGGAAAATGCGCCCCGGCCTTCCTGCATCCCTTCTCGCTCTCGGATACCGTGCCACTTCTATTTCTGGTAGTTCTGTAAATCCCCCTTTTGCCCGGTTGGACGTGTACGTTTCGTACGATTTCAGCACGATCGCGCGGCTGCACCGTTTCGACGGTTCTTTCGGGCTAAGGACTCGTTCCTTCTATTTGCGTCCATCTTTCATAAGAGTTATATGCGGAATGAGTCGTCCACGAGTGATTTACGCCGATATTACGTGTAATAAATGGATCCAACGGCGATCGCGCGATTTTATTAAGGGCTTTAAGACGGATCAAACGAATTCTTTTATAGGCGAAAGCGTTTAAACGCGGTTTCGCGTAGAAGAAACATATATACATATATGTATACCCTCTTTTTTTTTTACGTTGCTTTATTTTCGAACGCAAATTTCTATTTCTTATATATACAGATCCGTATCCGTCTTTTTTTTCAGAGTATTCTCCATTTAACGCGCTTATATCCGCCATTGTACCTGGTGTCATTCCGCCTATCATCCTCTCAGCTGCCAACAATGGCAGGACAAACATCTAATACCTAACCATTCATCACCAAAACTCCCTTTCACGTCCACCTTTCATCAAGTACCTCATCAACCACCTCGAGAAACCTACGACTATTATTCACACCGTCTCATAGCGACGAGTCGCGGAATCCCTTCAACCGTTCTCTCCCATCGCCGAGGCCTCCTCTTCCGCGTGTCCCCGCGTTACCAGCTGTTCGCGCCAGCTTTTTGCATTCGCGATTCTCTCGCATCGTCGCCGTTTTCCTCATAACGCGCGCCGGCAGCGGAACGAACGGTGATTTCCATCCGAGAAAATGTTCCCCTCGATGCCATCGAACCGGTTTAACGATGTTTTCCATGCGGTAGTTAACGTCTCTCCTCCGCGTAGAGACAGCCACGCTTTGCTTATGCACACGTCCGCATACCTGTGCACAACATCCGCGCGCGGTTTCGCGCGCACACGAACGCGTGGCGCACACGTACGCGTGAACACGTCCACGATAGAAGCGCGGCGGGCAAAACTAGGTAGCCTTGAGGCTCTCCGTTTTCTGCCAGCGAATTTTATCCGGGCATCTGCATGCCAGATACGTTCACCACGCCCCTGCCCCCCGCCGCTTTTATTTAACAGGAGAACCACCGACGTGTGTCATCGATTTGCATAGTCACCGCAGCGATACACAGGTCGGGTTTCTGTCCGTGTATAACCTTGTTTCCAGTCCCGTGGCAGGCATCGCAGCGCGCGCCTCGACGCGCCACCTCGGACACGATCAGGTGTAACCATGTATGAGAGTAGTTGTGAGCAGCTAGTGACTTTTTCGGGGAGGACGCGTGGACACTCTAGTGACTTTTTCGGATCGACGCGTTCGATAGCGTTTCAAATCGTTCTTTTCTATGATACGATGACGATTTTCTTCGGAGGTGTGAGATTACGAAACTGCTCGTGAATATCGAAAAGAATTTTTTTTGGGGGGGTTTTTTTAACGAAGCAAAGAATTTTGTTTATTTATGCGTATGCCAAATTGTTTTAAGATATTCGTGAAAATGATATGATTTTTTGGGAGAGGGGGAATAATAATGCAAAGTAATGCATATTTACAAAATCTTTATAATATTTTGCTGTATTATTAAAGTGATAAAACGTTCTAAAACAAACTTAATTGACTTATATATCTATGTGTATTTTAAACGAATGATGGATTTTAATTAACATACCTATAAAACGTGTTTGTAAAGCAACATACTTTCGATATTTTACGAGCAAATAAATCTCATGCCTATGCTATCTACGAACTTTTATTGCATTTGTATCTTTCGAGGAGGACTAACGAGTTCGTAATTGTACAGTTATGCGTCTTCGATCCACAAAGAGCCGGGCATGAATTTCTTTTAATTGTTTCTCGATTACGGCAAAGCCAATACACGAAAGCGAAAATATTTTTTTTTTTTTCACGAATTACATAATTCCATCGATTTTCAAGGTTTCGAGGTTCATTCGGTCGTCGACTGTTCCCCTGATGACGTTGGCCTAACGTTATTATCAATTATCGTCTCAAAATAAGCTGAACCGCTGTACGCTGGTATTGTAATACATACATCTTTTGTTTATGCTGATAAAATGCCAGTGATAACCGTAATGTGTTGCGACGTTCGCAGTCTGCATAATACTTTGTAATACGTTACTCACAGCTGAGAAATTAATTTATTTATAAATTAAAAATTAATTTTCGAAAAATAAACTCTCGTTGCTTTTTCGGAAAATAGAGAAACGGCATCTCGAATTTCGAATTAATTTTTAGATTTTTTACGTCCAAAAAATATAATAAATCGTTTCGAATTGAAATGGAATACGTAGAATTTTCTTTTTTTATTTTTTATTTTCGTATATTTAGATTAATTATTGTTCAACAATCGATACGTTTGTTAAGTATATAAATATACACCGTGTAATTCAACGTCCAAACATCTACGATTAGATACCAATTATCTGAACGACGTTGCTTCCCTCCCTTGCAACTGTTTCCACTTCCTGTCTATTTATCTATTCACTTGCTAATTTATTATAATAAATTTCATTGTATTTTAGTTGTCTCGGCACAACTCACACGGGTGTGAACGGATATTGATAAAAAAGGGAATCGTTTTATGAACGAACCGGTTGGACATCCGATCCTCCGGTTCGAAAGGGCGAAACGAGAGCATCGAAGCTCGCGTATTATAGTAACAACGACGAATTTTTGATAGAGAACGAATTCTTACCTGAAACCACCCACCATTTTCATTCGTATCGTGGAAATTTGACGCTGCGTTCAAAAGGGTTGAAAGAACACCACAAGGGTGAAAAAAATATTTCTATTGAACGAAATCGAATATTTCTGATTCAGATAGAACGGTAATACGAACCAATTGAATTATATTCTCTCCGATATAAAATCTTCCTTTTAGAATTTCCGATCGAAGCAGAGAAGATTCAGATTTTATTATTAAAGATTTTAATTTCTGTATTAAGTCGTAAATCGTCGGATCGATTGGAAAAGGGGATCACGGTCACGTGGAACTTAGGCACGTTGATTCCAATGTGAATAACAATTCGATCTTTATCAGGATCATACGTACCAGTGTGCGGGAGCTCACGAGGTCGCGAGCAATCGAGAAAGCAACGATTCGTAGCGCTATGCAAATGATGAATTTCTCCCGTGTCCCTTTAAATAAATGCGTTTACTTGAACCTGATTTACGTTGCGACTTACGCACGGTAACGAGGACCCTATTAAACTTTCCTTATTTGTAGGCTTCAAATATATTATATCGATTACGAGCGCCGAGAGAAACGTTTAAATAAATTGAAATGTTGCCAACAATGAGACCGTTGTTAGACGCAAGTGTAAAATAATCGTGCAAACCTCCAGATGTGAAATTATCGTACCAGCTTTTCTAGAGAAATCCGTATTCGTAATTGGTTCATCGACTAGTCTATTCGATAGATTGACGTGAAATATAAACAAAGAATCATCACACTTTGTACTTCTCACAAGATGATTCTTACAAGACAAAGAAGGTTTGTACGTCATCCGCGAGATTCAAGATAATTTTCTTCAATTGATTCTTTAATTGATAAATAACTTTATTTAAATTTCTATTTCGTCACTTCGAAATCTGTTTCTTTATCCTACTATTCCTTTGATATTACGATCTTTTTCGAAATTTTTCGATCTTCAAATAAGAATATGAAAATGAAAATTCAAATCAATACAAAAGAAACACAAAAAGTAGAATCAATCAAGGAAGATAATCACAATTCAGAATTCAATGGCAGGGAAAAATAGGGAATCTTTCTATTTTACAGAAAATCAGTATGTTGTGAACGGTAAAATTTAATATGGGCACCGATTCACAAAAGCGAGACGTGTCAGGTTGGTACGGTTTCGTTCGGCAATGATTCGTTTTCGTGGTGATGGTGCAAACCAGATAGTAGGCAGAAGGAGCTACGAAGATACGATCTTCCGGTAAAAGGAGAAAGAACCCCCCGTAGTGACTTTGAATCTATGGACCCTTTTAAGGTGTCCCTTTGCGTGGCTTGTTCAGTTTGGCTTAGCGTCGGAAACGTAACAAACGATCCTCACAACCGCCCAACAAACCGTTCTTTCTCCTCTCACCCTATTAGAATCCACTCGTGGCTTGATAAAGATCTGGACCAATCTTGATAAATAATTTTATTGATATTTTTCTATTTAATTCGCGAGTTCACGGTAATTTGCAAATTCCTGTTAAAGCATGATTCAAAAGTTCTTTTTATTATACAGTTTCAATATACGTCTCTATTTCTATTTGTTAGAATCATTTGTTGCATCGTGTGTATATATATTACTTTGAATTCACGTATGCTTCAAATATTTATAAAGAAAATTGCAAGTATTTTCGATTCAGAAGTTCTTTTTATTATACAGTTTCAATATACGTCTCTATTTCTATTTGTCAGAATCATTTGTTGCATCGTGTGTATATATGTTACTTTGAATTCACGTATGCTTCAAATATTTATAAAGAATTATTGCAAGTATTTTTAATATATGTTTCTTTGATAAGTTAGTATACGTTTATCACAATTTAATATATTATAATTTCTGTTATTATTTATGGAATAATGAGGAGTAATAATTATAATATATAATTATAATAATAGTTACCAATAATTTACAATTTGCAAGAGTTCATATAAAATACAATTCGAAGCTTCTTTAATTTCGCCTAATACGAATTCACCAAAATTACACAATCATGATCCATGTTTGCGAATAATGTAGTATAATAACATTAATTAAATCCTGTTTGAATAAGATCGTTTCATCAAAGTAGGGGGCATTAAGAAACAGCGATAAACGATAATTAACTACTCTTAGGAAGGAGAATTGATACTAAATATGCGGTCCCCTCCAATCGACAATACAATCGTATTATCTTCACACTTGGCTTCTCCGGCTGGTTTCCATTGTTTGCTACATCTCGAATCCGCGGAAAGAATGGTAAGGAGATAGGGAGGAAGGAGTTATGTTTATGCGTGATTTAACACCCGCATTTCCATTCGACACTTTCCACGATCGCGAAACTAGCAATACTTCTCTCTGTTTACCCGCGATACTTGTCATTAACGTTACGGTCGGATACGATTATTGTCTTTTTAAGCAATTGAAAAATTCGATTATTTATCGCTCCGTGAAAGACTTTAACCTCGACGTCTCAATGAAGTCGTAACGTAATCGAAAGGACTTTGAACAATTAAGAAGAAACTCTCTCATTCGTGGTTACGATCAATATTAAAGACGATAAATCTTGTAAGATTCCAAAATAATTTTTTCAAAACGATGCGAAATAATCTGAACACGTGTCGCGCGAATTAAAAATTAATTTTTATCGTTTCTACGATTTCCCTCTGAAAAATTCAATCCCACAATTTACGCAGTTCGTGTATAAACAGTAATAAAACAGTTAATATCCGATAAATCGTGTCGGTGACATGGCCACCAGTGTGTCATCAATCGGTCGCATTGCGAGGAAGATAAAGGAGGGAGAGAAGAGACCGGTTAGCAAAGGTGGGCGCGCATCCACCGGTTCACGACCCCACTTTCGTTAACTGCTTTTAATTGCCCCATAATTGAGATTAATGAAAAGGCATGCGGGCGCCCATGATATCACCCTCGGCGAATTAAAATTAAACCGTACACGACTTTGTCCCATAAAAGAAACCGCCGCGCTCGTTTGCTTTGAGTTCGTCACGCGATCCTCTCCGCGGTTCACGCGGTCCAAAGAAATCCCTATAAAACATCGCGCAGTAAAGCTTGATCGTTTTGTCGTTCGTTTCGCAATTTCATGGCGTACGTAAGCTGAAAAGATTCGCGTGCTTGGAAGATGGTCACTCGATATCTTCTCTCTCCTCCTTTTTTTTTGCTTTTCCAAGACCCCCTCGTTTTGTATCGAGCGACGCCGCCTTTTCGCGACCATGCCGCGCAAATTGCCCCTGTTATTATTTCATCTAGCGCAGAATGGTGCCAATCGACGGCTTTTCGCGTGATGCGCCGCGTAATAAATTCGAACATCGCGCCTTTTATAACCTCGATCACAAACGACGAAAGTAATTTTAAATATTCGATGGTCTTGATTCAGTTTAATAGTATCCGTCAAGATTTTAAATATCTTTCGCAATATTTTTTTATGCGTCTTGTGGCGGATTTAATTGGTTTCGCTTGGATCGAAGAATTTGACGGGAAAAATATTGTTGTCCACGATTATTATCACGATTCGAATAAGCGTGAATAAGCATTTCTTGCAGAATGGTTAAATACTGAATACGGGTATAACAATACGAGGAGCGCGTTAAAAAATCTCGGAAGAAGAAAAGTGAAAACGAGAAACGTTTCATGCGAGAAACGTTTTAGACGAGGTCTTACATAAATTCCACAAAGGGATTCACATCGTCGGAATCGTCTCGCGAATATTACACATCTCAACTTTCCCATGAGCACTACAAACAGCCTATCTTTTTATTATATCCATATCTGTCCACTAACACGTACGTTGCGTGGGAGTGCCCATCACTCCTTTGACTCGGACCAACCACACCGTGCGGTTCGTAGAGTTCGGGTGTCGCTTATTTCCTCTTTCTTCTGTGTTCCTCTTAACGCGCCGGCCTCCTCGAGGGGTCCTTGAAATGGACCGAAATCTCACGTGGCTTTTCACGACCGTCAAGTGGCGCTAGGACCACCCGCAAATAACACGTGCCATTAATTTCTAAAAAAAATGAAGCCGATGAAGCCGATTACTTCCACTAATTCCATCCTCGTTCGTTCGTTGGGCGTTCCTCGGGCATAAGATTTCAAAACGGTTTCGACGAGCACAGAGCGGCGCAGCGTGTACTAATTTCAATTTAATAACATAGCGGATATGAATAAATTAAAGGATATGTAAATATAATCGAATAGAAGGTACTTCTCTACCTACATACATCCGACACCGCGTTGAATGTCAATGAACGATACGTCACACCGATCTTACATTCTTAAAAAGTTCCTCGAATAACCGAGAAAAAAAGAATGGCAACTCTTTGAAACGTAACAATCAAATTTTGCACACAAAGATCCGTCCAACGCGTGAAACGGAAGACAAAGCCCAATCGACGCCCGTTGAAACAATAACGTAGACTAATTTAGGATACTCTAACATCGGTTCATTGGCCGGTTAAGTCGAAATCGGTCGAGTTAACGCGAATACAGGCTATTAGCACCAACACAGGTTTAAAAGCAAAGTTACTCGAGTCCCGTGACCCCATGTTTCGCCTACGAAACATTGTGGAGTGCAAGGCGGGAACCCGTTCGAGTGGTAGACCGTGAGGCGACACATCGTTGCTGTACTCTATTCAGTCGAGATAGGGAAAAGACGTTGCATATACATATACGCGCGAGGAGGATATATGTACGTTGCATACTATACACGGTACGTCCATAGGAAACAGCTGAGAGAACCGGGAGAGACGAGTGTTCCCTGGTATGATACATCCACGACGAAATTAATGTCCCAGGATTCTCGGTTCCAAGGACAGGGGCTTGTACGTTTCGAGGACGAAACATTCTATGGCATACGGTGTGCCACCGACATCCGTGCATTCCGCCGATCGAATGCGATACGATAAATTTTCCGAGGCTGTACGATGCGTGGTTAGTCGGGAAATAGTGATCGCTTTTAAGGTATTTCGCCTTATCTTGGAAACGCGAAGGTTTCGATACTATTTTAATTGCTGCTCGGTTGTTAAAATATTAAAAGCCTGGAGCTTGAGAAATTAAATAAAACGAGATAAGGAATGTTTCGTCTACGATCCAACGATATCGATTAGGGATTATATAAATTCGTATCGATTGAATTTATTTATCGCGACACGTAAATTTCCATTGTTGGATGATCACGATTATATATAACGAGGAGAATCGGTGAACGACTTTAAATAAATAACGTTCTGGACATCTAATATCAATACCCCTCTAAAACTATCGCCACGCGATATATTGATTTCCGAGACTGAAGTAATCCTGTTTACTTACGCGACGAAAAAATGTCAATATAGCACGTAATTAGAGATCCGTCATCCTCCGTATATTCCATTCTTGGAGGGGGGGCCAAATAGTTGATAGGATAGAATAAATATATATCTAATATATACCGAACTGAAAACGATAAACAAACGAAACTAGTGTCCTGCGAAACGTTTCGGCTCATGTTGAAAAGCCGCGGCGCCTTCTTCGTCGGCAAACACCCACGCCCGAGTGTAACATGCACTAATACGTCGGTAGCGTACGCGCTCACACGCGTGCTTATGCGTGCACGCCGAAACAACCGTGCGAGAGTTGCAAGCAAGGAACGCATATACGTATCACATTGACGAGTTCCCGCCCGAGTCGGCGGTTGGTCGCTGCTTTGGCAGCTCCTCGTCTCTCTCAGGTAGCATGCGAGCACGGAAATGAGAGAAAGAGAGAGAGAAAGAGAGAAAGAGAACGAGATGGAGTCGCGGCGATCAGGACAGAACGGGACGAGGGACAAGCGGATAAGGATGGAGATAAGGGAGCGTGGGAGAGAGATAGGTCGCGTGAGCGAGAGAAAAAATGCAAAGGGGGAAAAACAGGAAGAGAAGGAAGAGAGAGAGAGAGAGAACGAAGCAACGGTACAGAAGGGGAGAGGAAGATGCATGGAAAACACGATGGTATGAGAAGAAGAGAAGTGGCGGAAGGAAATGAGCGAGAACCGTTGCTACAAAGAGAGATTAGAGAAAGAGGAGGAGAGGGGATGGTAAAAACGGAGGAAAGTAACAAATACCTTGGCGGGAAAGGTTGGTAGGGGACTAAGAAAAGCATCAGGAAAAAAGAGGAACGAACGGAAAAAGAGTGGAGAGTCGAGAAAGAAGAGGAACGGTGGAAAAGGGACAGAGAAACCGCGTAGAAGAGGAACGGTATAAGGGAGTGAAAGAAGGCGCGAGAGAGAAAGAAAGAGGGGTAGAGCGCTCGTATGGTCGGTTTGCCGCCTGCCGCGTAGTAGTAGCGTGCCGAGCGAGCAGCAAGCAGTGCCGAACGTCGTCGTCGTTTCTCAGTGTCGCCGCGGCGGTCGTGCCAGACGGTTCTCTTATAGAAGTTTTTCGTAGTGCGCGCGTAGCGCGTTCCGTTCCGTTTCGTTTTGTTTCGGTACACGTCAATACGGTGCAACGTGCGACGTGCTGGATTAAATTGGATTAAATACGCTTACTAGCGAACGTGTCCAGAGGATTATTGACTCGTGACGATCTCGTGTCGTTGTCGGGCAACGAAATCATCCAAAAAATCCCGCGGAGCGAATATATTTTCGAACAATTGGTTCAAGGATATCAACGTTCAGTGATGTGACAACGATTAAAACTTTATCGGCTTTTCACGTTTCGGTATGTCTAATATAAAAGGGATCCCGATTGGAGCATAGTGTGAACAAAAAAACGTCGAAACGAATCACAGAACGCGAGTTTGAAAAGTGTAACGACGCCGAACGCCACGTGCTACGCTACGTGCGGCGCCATCGCGAGTTAAACTTCGAATTTCGCGCGATGTTCCATGGTCAAGATTCGTTATCGTGAACAAGTTTGACACGTTTGAAAAGTGAAAAATCGTGATTCTCCCTCATGGTCGTGGAACACACGGCGGGTGGCACATTGTAGCGTGCCTTGTGCCGCGTTTGTACAAGTGGATTTAACCTTGTGATCGAACACGTGGATGCATGCTGCCCTGTCGACGATGCTGTGCTTTTGAACGGCCAAGCTGTCTGCACGAAAATTCCAGGTTAGAAATATTTATATTTTTCATTATTTTATCTTTTATTATCTATTACTTTGATTAGTTCGTTAATTTAAAAGTTATTTATTATGTATAAATAACGTTCGTAATTTTCAATTATCAATAACTATTCATAATTATTGGAGCAATTGTGTTAGAAAGTACAATATATTCTTTAGTTAAATATTAAATATAAAGTAAAACGTAGAGTGATATAAGAAACAATATATTTTATCTACATTTTTTTTCGATGCTCCAAATTGTTCGTGGAATTATGAATAGTTGACGTGGTTCAAAATTTACGCGAACAATAGATATCATTTGTTTTGATGGTTTTCGAAGAAATTTTAAACGAGAATAATATTTGTTTACTGAGATTTTATCAAATGTTTCGGAAAAGACATATACGTTTCGTATATCGAGTTGTCAAACATGGTTCTGTTGAATGTGGAAAATAATAATTGTATTAATTTATTCTATATTCTAATCTAAATTATAAAATCATTTTATTAGGATATTTTGAATATTTTTCTTTTTTATCATTCTTATCATTGGCTTCGTTATCATCTGACATTGATGTTACGTGAATATTACTACCGCGACAGAAAAAAAAAGATATCGATGTAATAAATTGTGAGTATGACACAACTATTTATTAAATAAAACAAATATACACTATTGATTAAATGTTAAGAGCTATTCTTTCGATAACTATCTAAAATTGTCAATGAAAATTTTTAAAAATCAAATTAAAATTTCGTATATCGTAGTAATAACACTTTCAAGATATTTCATAGATATTTAGTGATTGGAATTTCCTTTAATTCATTCGTGAATCATTTAGAAATAATATCTAGAAATAGAAATAGAAATAAATATATAAGTAAATTTTTTCTTTTTTAATTTCTTATCTTTTTTAATCATTTAACATTCATTTTATTTAAATATTTTTTAATATTTCGTAGAGATATATTTTGAACCACGTCAACTATTCATAATTCCACGAACAATAAGATATATTTATATATCAAAAAATATATTTTATAAAATTTTATTAAAAACATTTTATTTAAAATATCGTATGTATTATCGGCTCTTGAAATGAGTAATTTCAAAACAAGTAAACATTGAAATGTAAAAATGCAGTAGAAAACCTTTGGACTATTGTCGTTGCATTAAGAAGAGTCAGGTTGATTATGTAACACCGCTCATTATTATTCGAACAATAGCGAATTCTAATTCTGCAGTCATATAATTAACCTTCATTGTCACAACATGATTTCGCCGTTGGTATTATCGTATTACGAAAAATTCGACGAAGTATATTTCATCTTATTAAATATTTCCATTTGTACAAAGCTTCTTAATTAGGTCATTAGATTCACGGTTAACAATTACGATCACGATTTTTTATGGCCTTGAAGTGATACTCATCTGAAGGGAAGAAAAAAATTAATCCGGTTTATTTTTTCAAAAGTTAAATAATTCTCCTTCGAGAAGTCGATCAATTTACCTTCGATAAATCATAATCATTCGCGGAAGTTTATGCAGTTGCTATATTTCAATATTTTTAGAAAAAAAAAAAAAAACAATCGATACTTCGCTCGATCGAGGATTAACCTGAAAAATATTACAAAATAACCGCTTCTGTCGACGGAATAAAAAGAATCGCGTTGTTTGCAACGCAGTCAGCCGCGAGTTGGTTCTAAACGAGTCGAAGAGAGTTGCTGGCTAGTCGCTGCATAGCGCGCAGCAACGACAAACGGTAGTAGTGGTTGGTAATCGGTCGATTTATCGAACTGCCGATCGGTATCTGCCGACGACTCGTTCGGCGAGTATGCGCGATTCTCGAAGGCGAAATCCTGATTACGATTCCGTTCAATGTCGCAGTGACATCATCGAGGATCATCATCCTCTTGGAATTCCCCCTGTCGATTAAATCTGCACGAGTTAACCGTGATTCTTCCTCGTGTTGCACGATATTCACCCTTCAGATTTTTTTCTTGTACCTTTAGAAAATTTACATTCGAACTCTGAACATCATCTTCAAAATCCTCCATTTGATTCGTTCGATTGATTTTATAACAGGCATTTTTATCTATATTGAATTTTCTTCTCAATCCCTTACATAATTTGCCAATGTAAATTTTCATTCATCTCTTACAAACTTTCTGTTGTGAAATTAATAAAGGCGGAGGGATCGTTACGTAACAAAGCGCAGAGATAAGATTGATTTTTTTTTTTTTTTTAACAACTGTCCATCAATGCCAAGGGAATGATTAATATCCGAGTTTTTCGACTCCATTTCCAATTGTCAAATGGAAGCTTGCCGAGTGAAATCGAAATGCTCCCGTTGACCTCTCTTTCCACCATTTATCGCTATTTATCGCGATCTATCAAACATTTGAACGAGCCAGATACGCGGTCGACAAAAAGGGTCTCGATGTCGACAAGAGTTCCGGTATCATTGTAACATACGGCCACAGTATTCCTCGCATTATCGCTACGGAGGTAGCCTCATAAGAGTGGCTAAGAGCGAATTGCCGTCATGTTAACCGCGAATGATTGCGAAACAAAAATTCACCGGCATGACAATGGGTTGTAGATTCCATCCGGGGGACCGAGCTATTTTCTGCGAGTCGAAACACACGCGGCGGCGATGCGCAAATTCTTCGAACGTGCCTTGCTTTTAATCAACGATAGACCGTGTTTCGTCATTCGTCGGGGGATCTATTGTTCCCCGTTATGGCGATGCAAAGAGGCCGACTCCGAAATTGAAATTAGAGGAAGCTACGCACATAGGTTGGAAGGTTTTAGCTGAATGATGGACGAGTTAGACAAATTTCAAAAAGTTTCTCGTAGCTTCTTGTGTTTCGAATGGCGAGTTGCAGTAGAATTCGATTCGAAATTTAAATTCGGATAAAATTATGCAGGATAATGATAATAAGGTTAGACAAATTTCAATTCAAAAAGAAGCTTTTCATTGTATTTTCGAATGACGAAGAATTAGAGGAAGCTACAATATTATAGGTGACGATGAAAAGAATGCTGATAAAGTTAGGCAAATTTTAATTAACAAGAATTTTCTCGAATTGCCTTTCGAAAGACTAGCGCCAAGTCACGGTAAATAAAAGATCAAAGATGAAGGATTTATCTTTATTGTATAGGCAGTCATGCGAGGCAGTAAAATAGATACGACCAAACTGATAAAATAATATAAATAGTGTGAGGTATGTGGAGGTGAAGAACGAATAAATAATATTTGTATTTCTAACAATTTTAATTCATTTTTTTTTTTTTTTTAATCATTCAGAGACGCCATATCCACATTCTACGCATTCTATATATTCATAAAAAATATTACTAGATATCTATTCTTGTACGTCTCATCAAAGTTTACGCGAGAAACTGATTTTAGATCCTAATTTTTTTTTTTTTTTTTTTTTTCTCGTATAGCGGTTTCCCTGACCGATCGAATTCTTATGGGAAACACGTGCGAGCTACCGCGGATGGGATCACGAAAGTATTTCTCCGGTCATAAATCGCTCTTACGTGATGTTTCCGGCGCGATCGACAGTCTTACCGAGTTGTGAATGGCGGTCGAACGTTTATCACCTCCGAATAAACATAATACGCGTATATTTTCACTCCGTCGTGTCTATATAGATATTCGTGTTTGTTATACGGAAGAGTGGTCGTCGTAACAGATTGTGATAAGAGCGCGATTTCGATTTTTCTATGTTCTTTCCCCTTTTCGGAAACGTGTCAGCGGTCATCGATCGATCGATGGACGATTTGAAATAATTGGAAAGCAAACGAGTTCGAGTGTCGTTTGTCTTTATAAAGTATTATTTCAATTTTCTCCGGTTTACACAATATTTTAGCGTGTCTCGTATCAGGTTTTTCAAATATTTATGGTTATTATTAGACGATCGATAGTTTCACAATATTTCGAAAAGTTAAGAGGATGGACAGAGGAGAATTTTTACTCTTTTATTTCGCTTTTGTAATAGTTCATGGTTAAATAAAGCTTGAACGCAATGCACTTTCAAACGCATACAAAAGACCACGTGGTCAACACGTGTTGCGTTCATTCTTTGAGTAGATTACGCCTCTTGGATGTTCTGGTTCCGCGTTGCAGTCTTTGTAGATTCTAGCGGAAGCCATCCGGTAGATTCTACCATCTTTTGTTTACAGAATCATTCGTTTTATTCCCGTTTTACTACGTTTTACATCACTATCGTGTAATCCTCGAATTTTGCCATTCTAAACGAAGAAACTGCTTTCAGTTAATTTTGATGCGGCATCTTAATAAAAATAAAATATAATGATAATCGTAAAGAAAGAATCGATTTAAAATCTCCGTGTAATATTCTAATATTAAGATTTCATGATTCTTTGTTTTCCATTCTTTTTTCCTATTCACACTCGTGCACAGCTGTTTAACATATTCCCACCTTTGGTTTTCTCTACTTCGTATACGCGTATTTTACAACTCATAGCTGACCTAGTTCTCGAACCAACGAAACTCGAATGGTTCGAGAAAGAATATCACAGTTACGCTATAACAGCACGTATGTACTTACTTGCTATATTTTCCTTTACAATTTCATTCATAAAATCTGATAGAATCGAATCCATCCACCGATAGTTCGTCGAAGATAAAGATAATCCACTAGACCTACACGACTGTATAAAAACACTTGTACGTATAATCACATTCTCTTTAGGAATTCGTATAAAATAATCCGATGTGACAGTGGTGAAAATATCAGGCAATGCTCATACACTCGTACTACGCTGGTATTCGCGATCGGATCGCTCTTTTAATGATGAGATTCGTTTTTGCCATAGTTCCGTGGAAATACGTGGTTGGCATTCGCGGTCTTCCTCTCCGCGAAAAACTACATCGTGATTCACGATACGAGCCTCGTGTCGCCGGCCATAATCGAAAAGAACTTTTAACGTCGGACGACACTAAATGTTCCTTTTTCCTCGTCGTAGAA